TGTTGCTCTTCTTGATTTTTCATTTCATAGTTTGATTTGAGAATACCGACTGCGACAAAGCTCTTCAAATGTAAAACCTTGAAAGAAAAGCGGAGTTATATGCCAATTGTTCACTTAAATTCTATTGCAATTGATCCGAGGAACCCGTATCGTTTCGCTGTTGCAGGATCGGATGTGTATGCCAGGGTCTATGACATTCGCATGTGCAGGCGGGACGGGAAACCATGTGGCAAACCGGCCGATTGCTTTGTTCCTTTGCATTTGATTGGTGATAACCATTTTGAGATAACGGGGTTGGCTTTCTCAGATCAAAGTGAGCTTTTGGCCTCATACAATTTGGATGTGATTTATCTTTTCTTGAAGGACCAAGGATTGGGTCCTAATCCATATTCAATATACTCAAACTCAACTATGACTAATGGGCATACAATGCAAACTTATAAAGGGCATATAAATTGTAAGACAATAAAGGGAGTGAACTTCTTTGGTCCAAATTGTGAGTATGTTACTAGTGGATCTGACTGCGGTCGTCTATTTATCTGGAGGAAGAAAGGAGGGGAGCTACTGCGTGTGATGAAAGGAGACAAGCATGTTGTAAATTGTATTGAATCTCACCCATACACCACCATGCTTGCTAGTTGTGGGATCAAAAAGAGCATAAAGATATGGCTGCCGAATGCTGTGGAACAAGCTGCGCCGATAGATTTTTATGAGGTTTGCACGTGCTCTTGCTCGATTCAATTTTGTATCTCTTATTATTCGATCAGCATTTGTTTTTCTTAGGGGTAGTTTGGGGTCACTTTTGATATTTTTTCTTATTTTTTATTTTGTTTTGTCTATGTTTTGATTTAAAATAAAACATACTTGACGTGATATAACATGTTCAGTTGTTTTTAAAAACATTCAAAATAATTTTTAGATGTTTTGAGTGTTTTTGAAATCATGCCAATTTATTTTTTAAATAAAACATGATAAAACATAAAAAACAGACAAAAATGCATTAAAAAATACAAGTGATCCCAAACAAGCCATTGAGGGTTGTTTGGTTGCAAGATTTAGCTATGATGTAAGCTAAATCTTCCCAAGCAATGAATCTCTATTGTCCCTTGATTTTGATTCTCGAATGAAGCCATCATGACCTTTCTTATTCTTATTGTAAGACTAACATAATTTTATATTTAATGTCATGCATCATTTACCCGAATCTAATTTATTTTATTCTTAT